AATATAAATTATTTATCTTAAATCAAAAATATTATATATATATATATATATATATAAGTTTTAATAATAACTAGTGAATATCTTGTGCCTTCAACACTCCCATTTCAAAATTCATTTAGTATGTAAGAAAACATACATTTAAAGAGAGAATATATTTGAAACTGAAAAGGAGGACATGCTGGGTTAGATCGAAAGAAATTTTAAAATTTGAAAAAGAATAATTAAGGGTCTACCTGGTTTAAAAAAATGTTTTTCATTTTTTTTATTTCTTATTTATACAACTAATTACGAAATTTCATTTTTAAGAAAATTGTTCCCTATCTTTAAATATAGGTATATGAAACACCAAAACCTTTTTTTTTTTTTTCTCTTTTTTTTATGTAAATTTTAGGAAGTAAGAAATAAAGTGAAAACAAAGTAATTTTTTTTGTAATTATTTGTGAAAATAAGAAATGAAAGAAAAATGTTTCCTGGAACCAAATAAGCAATAATATGTTATTCTTTGGGAAGAGTGGAATAAGAAATTAAATCACTCAAGTAAAAGGACTCAAAAAATATAAGGGTAGATCTGTGAATGCATGTGACATGTAACATTTTCTTTTTGCCAATAGATATATGTGTTTACTGGTTGTCTTTTGTTTACAGGAAAATTCCAAGAGATTTAACTGAGGCATCATTATCTGGAGCAGGTTTATCTATAGCAGCAGCTCTCTGCATGGTGTTTTTATTTGGAATGGTTTGTAGCTTTTACCACTAATATTTATGTTTATGACAAGTAAAGCTTTTAATGCATGCATGTGTTCTAGCTGATATTAGATTATATTCCTCAATTTAGTTTTGTCAAATTTTATCTTAGAGTTGATCGTCAAAATTCATTTTGATTTATGTCATGCAACCTTGTTGCAGGAACTTAATAGTTATATGTCTGTCAGCACCTCTACATCTGTGATTGTTGACAAGAGTTCTGATGGGGACTATTTACGTATGGATTTCAATATCAGGTACAAGGCTAAATAGGCATTTACTATCTTTATATGTACAAATTATTAGCAAAGGAGATTAGCATACTACATATAATAACTTGGGTCGTATAATATTTTTGTGCCATCAGTTTTTTTTTTTTTTTTTTTAATCAAGAATGTGCAACTCTGCAATAGAGAGAATCTATAAAGGGTATTTCTTAGGATTTCATAAATTTATCATCAAAATTTTGGTTAATTGTTGAAAAAAATACTTATTAGATAGAAATTATTTTCTTTAATGAAGAGGTTAAAACTTTTTTATGTTTCTGTATCAATATTGCGTTCATGTAGTACATTTCTTTTCAAAATAGTATTGGGATGGGATGTTGAAAAAAAAAATTTAATTTATAATTGATACGTTGTGATTGTTTGTCCAATAAACAAGAAATCAAGGATTCACGAGGTAATAATTTTGGTTTTCAATCTTTTGATTTTTCTATAATGATTTCTATTCCTTGTTCAATTCATGTAGTAACAATAAATAGTTATAGTATTATTTTGACTATGCTCATTTAATTTCATGGCTATTTATTAACTTTTCTTTTCTTTATCAATTGTTTTTTCTTGATGGCTCCAATTTACGTTGTAGTTTTCCTGCCCTCTCTTGTGAGTTTGCATCAGTTGATGTGAGTGACGTGTTGGGAACAGTAAGTTTCTCTTATTCCATTTGATCATCTCTTGAAAAGAAAGATTTGTGTTCATATACTTCCTGAATTAATTAACCTTAGTGTAGTTAAATCGTCTTTAAGACAAATCGAAAAAAATTAAGATCTCCCTTTATTTATTATATTCATTTGGTTAATCTAATATGGTCATAAAATGTTAGTTTACTATCACTAATATCTATCAATGGATATTAGTTAAAATTAATTAAGTATCAAAGTGTATATTGTCTAAACATAATGGGATATTATTCATGGAAGGAGTTTGCTATAACTTTGTGAATTCAAACCTAAACAGTAAACAACCTATAATTAACTGCTAGAAAATGTTTTTTTTTTGTACAGTGAAAATGTTGTTTATTAGTTCTTTTAGAAATTTCTTTGTTATTTTATAAATAAATATACCTTAAATAGTTTAACCTCATAACATTTATTCATTAATAGACTTTCAAATTTTAATATGTTACCTTTCCCCCCATGAATTGGGAAATAAGGCAATGAAATATAAGAAGTACAGACATAGATTTAATACTTCTTTATGAACTATTCTTTTTATTTTCCAAAATGAAAAAATCCTTAATATCTTTTTATGAGCGTTATGATTTTGTGTGCAATTGTGCCATACCTTCATATCTTTGGTTTCTTGATGTTTCATCCTTGTCCTTATTTGTTACATCTTGTTTTCAGAACAGGCTGAATCTAACAAAAACAATTCACAAATTTTCTATTGATTCAAATTTAACACCCACTGGTGCTGAATTCCAATCGGGAACATCTACTGACCACATTAAGCACGGTAATGAAGCACATGAAGAGTCCATTGAAGGTTGTGTTGTACTCACAACACAAAACTTTGATAAATATGCTCATCAGTAAGTGGGTTAATAATGCAATTCTTTCATTTTTTATTTGATCTTATGTTATTTGAGAGTTGTATAGCTCTTTTTCTCATCCTGCCTCAAACTGCACAATATTTTTTTGTATCATTTACCCTGTTTTGGATAATCTTTTGGCAGGTTTGCTATTACAGTTGTTAACTTTTATGCTCCTTGGTGTTACTGGAGTCAACGCTTGGTAATTATTTTATCATCATTTTTTGTTTCCTCACCACTTCAACAAATAAGGCACTTCTTAATGTCTTTATTGTTGTCTAAATAAATTTATTAATGAGAGATGAATAAAAACAAAATTATGAGAATTTAGACCTAAAATAAATAATACTATATCAATGTGGACTATATGTTCATAGGAACCTCTGATTCATAATAAGTGGAATTAGAGCTTATGATTCGATCATGTGATTGACTCAAACAAGTACTATGAAATTGGTGATAAATTCAAGTATATATAAAAAATTTTGTGTCATCAATTTTCTCGAAACTAGGTTCATATATGAATAACATTCTTTTTAACATATATTAAGAGGCATGTTCCGTACGTTATCGTGAACTAATGATGGAGTTGTAGTGTAAATACCTTGAGCATGACCAAGCCATTAAAATACTCATGGATTGAAAAGACAGTTTCTATTAGAGAGAGTTAAATCATAGTCTTTTGTTTAAGGAGGTAATTGTTAAGATACAATCAAAGTCACATATCATTAGAACAAGAGGACGAACATGAGTTTATATAAATACAAATTGTCTCCATCAATAAAAAGACTTTTAGCTGATGATAAAAAATAAAACCTTGAGGGCTTAAATTCAAAATAGACAATATCATATTAATGTGAAAATTGATGCCAAATAAGTGATATCAAAGTTGACGGATTTTACCAAACGACTAGCTAAGACGAGTATGATGAAATTGGCTATGGATTTGGACACAAATTTCCTTATATCAAAAGTCTTCCTGATGGTAGGTTCATGTATAGAGTTAGGAAGCATGTCTCGCTATTGTTTAGATACAATCATAGTCTCACATTATTAGAACAAGAGGAGAAATATGTGTTTATAAACACACAAATATCTTCATTAATTAACGATCTTTTAGAAGATGACCAAAAAATAAAACTATAAGGATTTAGTTCTAAAGTGAATAATATCATACTAACATGAAGATATTTGTGAAATTTCAGTATACAACATATACTTTTATTTTTCTATTGTCAATAGTTTTATTTTATCACTTAAGAAACAAGCATTCCCTTCGGTAGAAACCATGTAGTAGGGGGTAAAGGCTAATTTCAGTGCTTAGTGCAATGCAACCTCATCAAGAAATACACTTTAATAATGACTAATGTAATTTCATGATACAAAAACTTAAACGATATGGCATGCAAATGGTGTAAGTGCTACATAGTACATATCATCTGCCCATATATAAGATTATTGACGATTTACTTAATCATGATGAAAGAAATCATGTGGAAGTTTTTTTGTTTAGTGATTTAAGGTTTTTATGCGACACTTTCATCTATTTCCTTCCAGAGACCTTCATGGGAGAAGGCAGCTAAAATAATTAAGGAAAGGTACTTTTAATTTTACTGTGTTCCTTCTCATTCCTGGAAATTACATTTTAGAAAATTTATGGTGTCATCTCTTTTATTTAATGTTAATTATCATAGCATCACTTTACTAATTTGATGTCTTATTTGTACGATTGCATTTTTATGTAGATATGATCCAGAAACTGATGGTCGTATTGTTATGGGAAAGGTAGATTGCACTGCAGAAGGAGACTTATGCCGAAGGTACCTCTGTTTAAGGATTCAGTTTCTTACTTGCAACTAATTTAGTTATCTCTTTGATCTTTCTATTATATTTATTGATTATTTAGGTTTTCTATACTTTATGGTTTGACCATGTCATATAAACCATCTTCAAAGTTTTTACCTTGGATGAGAGTACTAAGATAAGATAATTACGAAGGCAATGACACTAATGGATTGGTGAAAAAAATGACCACAAATTTAAACTTTTTGGTGAAAAAAAATAGGAAACAAAATGAGATAACTTCATTGTCATCCAAAATTGTTCTCCTAGAGTTTGAGGCTGGTCACTTGTGGTTGTAGTGAAATAAAATGATGCGTATGGGTTAGAAAAATGTTTTTTTTTTCTCTCTTTCATTTTTACCATTATTAAAATGTGTATGGGTTAGAAAAATGCCTTTTTTTTTTCTCTCTTTCATTTTTATCATTATCAAAATGTGTATGGGTTGGAAAAATGCCTTTTTTCTCTCTCTGATTTTTACCATTTTCAAAATGTGTTTTCCATCAAGTGGTCTCATGCCACTAATCCTAATATTGGATATTAATCCTGATGAACCTATCTTAATTAATGAAACAAATCATAAATAATGTGGTTGTAATATTGTTGTTGTGGTGCTCTTCGCAACCGTAACGATCCGCAATTGTAATGTGTTTTTAGATCACTAGAAATTTTGCAAATCAACTGTAATTTCATTTTATTACATGTTTTTTTTTCCCAAAAAACATACATAAATTCAAATTTTAATCTTCTAATCTAATAAGTTTGGTTACATGAAATATTAAGAGAAGAAGAAAGTCAACTAATAATAATTGGTTGGAGTATTGGAAAGTATATAATGCATTTTAAGAAAGAAAAAAAAAATTGAAGTGAAGAATTAAGAAAAAGAAATTTAGTTAATTTTTATTATTATAAAACTATTTGTTTTAGCTGAATGTGAATATATAATAATTTCCCGTCGTAATGAATGGAATCCACGTCGTAACAGCTGTAATAGTCTTAACCGCGTCTACAACCAAAATTTAGAACCATAAATGAGAGACTATAATTAAGGAAACAAGGAACCACGTTATAAAATTGTAGACAATCAATCCCTTAATAGCGTGTTTTTCACGTTTCGGACGTGAATACAAACACACTCTAAATAGCTTTCTTGAACAACAAAGAGAGTAGACATGAAGTTGAAACTGATGAATTGATGGCAAATCGAATATATGGAGAATTGGAGATCAAGGTGAGTTTGGGGTAATTGACAGATAGGGGAAATGAGGTTCCATTAATCGCCACACACGTTAGGGAGGTGTGTAAGAAAAGTTTGACACAAAACAAAGAAGGCACACATAAGGGGTTGCATGGTGTTTGTTAAAAGGACGTGGACCGGTTTTACTCTTAACAAAGCAATTTAGAGCTAGATGTTGCTGTCTGGAAAATTTGTTGACCAGTGGTGGCAGTGTGAGGCAAGGATGTGGCCAAAATGATATCACAACAGAGGATGCTAGTGCTCTCCAGGGATGTCACAACTGTGGAGTGTGGCTGGATATGCTTCTTTTTCTGAAGTGGATGCCAGAAAGGTGACACAATGGTAGACATGACTAATTGAAAGAAGAATCGTGAAAATAAAGCAGAAATATGATTTGAGCATGGCAGAGGAGTAGTTATGGAACAAGTCACAGAAGAGGGTGTTGCCCTAATACTATGTTCAAATTATGGGATTTTAGGTATAGAGAGAGCAGAGAAGATAGAGAGTAAAAGAATGGATATAATCTCTTAACTATTTGGATGTGTTTATATGATCATAAAACTTAGACCAGTAACCCTCATTTATACAAATCATAATCCTACTAAATAGAAACAAATTCTAAAACTTAATCTAACATATGATAAGGATAATATCGGATGTTTTGATGCATTCTAACAAAGATATTCATCCTTTGTCATATTATTTAATGTATTCTGTCATTGCATACCAGAATTACTCCCAGGAGGTTAGAATCATGTCGAGATCATAGATTTTCACAAAAAAAATTTATGATATAGGTTTATGGATAATTGCTTAGCTTACTATGAAGATGGAGATGAACTTTAAACACACTTATTAATTGAGCATGATTGAAAGCACATGTTCTTCATTGTAATTTGATATTTCCTGTTGTCATTTTTGCTAATTTTGCTACTTTTTATCCAGGCATCATATACAAGGTTATCCTTCAATTCGTATCTTTCGTAAAGGAAGTGATGTTAGGTAATAATACAAATTAATTTATTTATTTTTACATTCTATTTTGGAAATTACACACTCATGAGCTTATCATTTTAAGTATATGTTTAATCATATTACATTTTTCCATGAGAATGATATATAGTTTTTTTTTTTCCTTTGAAAAATTATGGTAATGGTCCTCAAATCGTGTCTAAAATGGGAATAAGGATCAAAGGCCAACGATAGTAATGACAGAGGCATTGGAAGGATGTAAGGGTGCTAGTATTTGAATAGGTGATCGATCAGCTTAATTTTGAAATGAAGATCATATGGGAATTTGTGATGTCCTATGTAGTAGTAATGAAAGGAAACCTACAACAATGTCAATTAAAAGAAATCTACATGATCAATATCTAGATAGCTTTTGTTTACGTACAGCTAGAATACTGAACCTCTTTGGTCAGGGATTGTGTTCTAAAAGCTTTGGATTTTTGATCATGTCTTGTTGAATCTTTTTCCTATTTCAGAAGTGATCATGGACACCATGAACACGAGTCCTATTATGGAGATCGTGACACAGAAAGCCTAATCAAGGTACACATTATATTTAGTTTAAATTAACATTATTTGAATCAAGTTTAACATAAAAGAGTCTACTCACTGTTTTTATATGTGATTGAACATCGCTCCTTTACCATTAGAGTGAAACATATTTGATATAAAGTATCTTCATTGCAGACAATGGAGCATTTAGTGGCATATCTCCCTTCTGAATCTCAGAAGTTAGCTTTCGAGGAGAAATCCAGTGTTGCCAGGAATATAAAAAGGCCAGCACCATCAGCAGGGGGATGTAGAATCGAAGGATATGTGCGTGTCAAGAAGGTATACTCCCATATGGATAAAATTAAATCTTCTATTGTAATGCAAAAAAACTCCGGTGCTTCCTTGTTTTCAGATGTGAGGATGAACTAAGATTCACGTAGCTCTGAAAATAGCTGATACTTTTGATTCCTAGCTTCTTTTTAAATTGTCTTTTGCTTTTAATAGAAGTTTTAGTTGCTAATATTAAAATAACGGTTTAAAATTTCCTCAAATTTTAAATAATTTATTTTGCTTCTCAATTTTAAAATTAATCTTCTTAGTTCTTGTAATTTAAAAAAAAAATTGTTTTAGTCATTCAAGACCACTAGTTGCATCCCTGGTAGCAGTGTTTTAAAACCCGGACCGACCCGGCCGGTCGGACCGGTTGGACCGGGAACCGGTGGTCCAGCCGGTCCGAATCTGAAGTTGGATCGGTTATGCAGTCGACCCGTTTCAAATCGGATTGAACCGGTCAATTTTCCGGTTCAACCGGTGAACCGGTGGGTCAAACCGGTTCAACCACTTTTTTTTTTTTTTTTTTTTTAAATTTTTTTAAGGGACCATAAATCACAAAAATAATAATGAAAATTGAATCTCTTAATGAAAAAGCAAGGAGTCTTATTAAATATAACAATGACTACTTGTTCTAATATATTTGTTTGCAATATATACAACTTAAATAACTTTTATAGTATATTATTAATTTTAAATTATATATTTAATAATGCAATATCTATGTAAATATTACATATATTATTTTCTGATATTAATTGCAAGCATATTATATATGTACGTATTATTTATATTTTTTATTTGTATTAATATACCGTTTAACATGTAATTTTTTTATGTATTTTTTTACAAAATAAAAATAAAAATAATTTTAAATAAGATGGAAAAATTGAAATTTAAAATAAGATATGAATTTATTAAAATTTATAAGTATAAAATATATTTAATATGAATACTTTTTAATAAAAATAAATAAAAATCGAGTCATGCGGTTCAACTAGTGACCCACCGGTTCAACCTTTGACCCACTGACCCAGTACCTTAACCGGTTCGATGACCGGTCCGGTTTTTAAAACTATGCCTGGTAGTAATAAATTGAGTCATTTGTACATCATTAACCGAATTTAATGTAATGTTTTTATTAATAAAGGATACAATAATAGATAGATTTTATGCAAAGATTCAATAATAAGCGAGTCTTATTTCACAGATCATGAACGACATTTAAGCAAGGATATTGAAATAAGCCTTTTTCAAACTATTGAAACTAAAAAGTCAATTTTAAATTTGAGGATCCCAGAATTTAAGCTGTTATGCTCTTCGCAGGTTCCCGGAAACTTGATCGTCTCAGCTAGATCTGATGCTCATTCCTTTGATGCTTCTCAAATGAATATGTCACATGTCATAAACCATTTGTCGTTTGGAAGGAAAGTGTCACCTAGGGTCATGAGTGATGTGAAGCGGTTGATACCTTATGTTGGAAGCAGCCATGACAGACTGAATGGTCGCTCATTTATCAATGCACAAGATTTAGGAGCAAATGTTACTGTAAGTTAATATTTAAAATAAAAAATTCTAATTTAGTAACTTCTTTATTTGATAATATGATTTTTTTATGGTTGGCATCATCATGTTTGATTGTTAATGGACAAGTCATATTGACCTGAATCTTGAAGAGTAAGATGCAAAAATAGATAGCATGAATGTCCATGGCCTAAGGAAGTTCTACTCATTTTTGAGACTATAATACCTTATAGTCTTCTCCTTTATAAATTACATACCAACACCATTTTAGGACAAGGCGGGGCCTTCCCACTCCTACACTCATAATCTGGAAAATAATTTTGATACATTACATAATGCTTCTAGACTTCTGCAATAAACACGGAAGTCAATGAAAGGTTTGCTTCCTATGCATGGTGAAATTACATCACTGAAGTGAGGAGACCTCCTTAAATCTTCAATCTTCTCAACTGTTAGCTTTACTATTTAAATGTGCCAACTTGTTGAACCTAAATATGTTTGAGTTATTATCTTGATTGCACCTGTAATCTCTATTTGAAGCAGCCAAAAAGATAACAAATGAAAACATTGAAAAGAAAGCAACATGGAGGTGGAAACCACCTAGAAGTTCCTTTATTAGGTGTTAGTCTCACATGAGACAACATAACTTTTAGGAAGATGTTAACCAGTGTCCTCAAGGTACTGGTTTTTTTTTACAATCATGTTATTGATGTGAAGTATCCACTGATTGTATAAATAATTAACTTCTATCAAGAACGTAGTTGACCACTTTGAGTTAGACCTCTCCACCAAACTATGTTTTTTTTCCATCTACAAGATTCAAATCAGATGCTTGCTTAAAAGCACCGAATTCAATTCCTTAAAATACCTGAGAAGGAATAAAAAGTGGAAAGTTTTTATTGAAAAGTGTAGCAACACACTATCATGTGTAACTTTAACATAGTTTTGATGACATTAATCATGGTTATTTCTTTCGGTATGGATGTTTACAGAAAGATGAGCATCTCCCATGCTTGGAGATTTATTTACACATTTATTGAATATCTGTGGCTGCAGATGGAGCATTACCTTCAGATAGTTAAAACAGAGGTGATAACAAGAAAAGATTATAAATTAATTGAGGAGTATGAGTACACAGCACATAGCAGTGTGGCACAGAGTTTACACATTCCTGTTGCTAAGTTCCATCTTGAGCTCTCCCCCATGCAGGTTCACTCATGGAGATTATAGATTTGAATATAAGTTTCTACTTTCCTTTTAAATTCCCTCTTGGTTTACTTGTTTATTTTTGTGAGCAGGTTTTAATAACGGAAAACCAAAAGTCCTTTTCTCACTTTATTACAAATGTGTGTGCTATTATTGGGGGCATTTTCACGGTTTGTATCTCATATTACTAGTGGTTCAGTACTTGAAAAGTCCACTATTTGTTTGGTTGATCAATCTTCTCTGTGGTTTCAGGTTGCTGGAATTATGGACTCCATTTTGCACAACACTATTAGGCTAATGAAAAAAGTTGAGCTTGGCAAAAACTTTTGATAGATAGTTGACAATTTATTATAGCATAGGGCTTTTGATTTCTCTTGATCCGCTTTACCGAGGTCTTTTGGCAGATTGTTATCTATAGATACACCATAAAGCATAAAAATGTAGTTTTTTTAGTTTTTAATTTGGTAAAATGATCATTACATTGACTGTGAACACCATAAATGCATCTTGTATTTCCCTCCACTAAATTTTTATACTTGGTTATGGTTGATAAAAAAATGTTGCTTTGATGTATGATGAATAATAATGTTGAATGCAAAATTGGGACTGAACTGATTAAATGGTGACAAAAATGAAAAATATTTATGAATATTGAATTCCCTGCTACATTCGTTGCATTTCAGTTACTATTAGATGACGTGATTGCAATATCGAGAAGACTAATAGGGACTAAAAGGTTAATCAAAGAAACGAGAGAGAAAAAAAAAAAAAAAACTTTCATGTTTTTTGATTTGATTTTTTCTCTCTCTTGCTTTTGATTTCATTAATGGTTTAACGTTTAAGACATTATATAAACTTGGTAACACACATAAGAGGTTGAAGGAGATCACTTGATGGAGAATGAAAAAAGGTGGCGAACACAACATTTGAACTTGATACCAGGACAACTTTTTATATTAACCTCGTCAGCATGTTAAATTATGCATCAATAGGTATCAAAACGGCCTAAATTATTAATACAAGCGCTTCGGTACTTGTATTCTAAATTCTTTAATTAAAGAACAATTTTCATTATGAAGTCCAAATATACCACTTTACCTCTAAACAAAGACACAAAAAAAAAGTACTTTAATCTGGCATATTTACTGACGCTATTACTGATAAAAATGGTTTTATTTATCTCAAGTGTATAGAATATTCTTACAATCATCAAGTAAGAAGCACACAAATGGGTACATATTTCCTCATTTTTTCACAAACAAATATCAAATAGCATCCCAACTTTGGACCAAAGCTAGGCCAGTTCACTAATAATGAACTCTAAGTATAAGAATCCATGAAAAATAAAAAATAATCTGTGAGAAACAAAAGCAAAACTAAAAATTACACTCATATCATATAACATAGACTCCACTTAGAAAGAAGCAACCAGAACTGTGACCAAGAATGCTCCAACAGAGCCAGCAAAGCTGACAAAGATTGAAGAAGCAGCATTAGATTTATGAGGAGAAGCAGGAGTTTGATCACTAGCGGGTGCTGGAGCTGGAGTTGTGTTTGTGACTGGAGATGGTGGAGAAGGAGCCTCTTGCTGAGCAGGTGCTGCCACTGGAGATTGAACCTCTTTCTGAGAAGGTGCTGGTGAAGGAGCCAGTGACTTTGTTGTAACTGAAGGAGAAGGAGAAGGAGATGGAGAAGCAGTGTTTGTGTTTCTGTTGTTCCTGTCTGCCAGTACAATTACCACCAGCTTCTCATTCTTGAGACAGTTGTTTTTGTTTCCACTGATGAAGAAGTGAGGCCCTGATCGGTTGAGCTTGATGATTGTGTGGCCATCAGAGAATTTTTGAGAATATGCATCAGTGTTGCAGTTGGCATAGTCTTGGCTACTGACTTGAATCACTGAGTCTTGGCCAGAAGGGTAGTTGAACACTGCAATTGGCATTAAGTGTAAATTGAAATGTAACCCCACCTTTTTTTAGTGGATCTAGTTATTAAAATGATTGATTGTGTCATTTTACTTGTTGCAAAGTTTTAACATTCTAGTGTTGGAAAGTGGTAGTTACAATATTAATATCAATACAATACAACACAGTGTTTTCATCATTTGGATTAGTATAGCACTATGGTCCAAAAATTTCTAAAACTTCCACTTGGTAAAGGTACAAAGATCTTTTATACACAGAAGGAAAAGGAGAAAGAAATGATTTCTTTTGACTTAGTTCATAAATCCATAAATCCAACTAAATAAAATGTTATTTATTTTTCTTTTTTATATATATAAATCACATATATCTTCGCATAAGGTAATTATTTTCGAGCAGTAGGAATAAGTTAGAACAAATTCACGTCCACACATACATAAGTTAGTAACTTGGGATTGAATATGAACTTACCTAGAGAGTCTCCAATTTGAAATCGGCTCTTTTGTGCCCATTGATTGTAAGGGTTGGAATTGGGGTCACTTGGGACACTCCAACCCTTTTGGCCTCCAACAACAAAATCATAGGCATCACCCTTGTGCACCAACAACAGCAAGATACTGAACAAGACCAAGGCATGGACTACTTCATTAGACTTTAAAATGATGGTAGCCATTGGAGAGGAATATCAATGAGGAATTGAGATGGGACAAATTGCAAGCAAATGCTAGAAATTTTGATGCTAGTGGGATGCAATGAAGTGGACACCATCATGGGTTTTTGTAGGCACCTGATGCATGGAAACTTTACAAACTGTGGCAGAGAAGCTTTTGGAACTTTTTCTTATTCTCTCCTCTCTTTGGGTTACTTTGATTCTGGAGCAAAGCATAAGTTCTTTCGTTCTTAAGAGTGATTTCTTTGAATCTTTCATCTTTCATACAAGAACGTGCGTCGGTTTATACTTTGCTTATTGGCATCTTAGCTTTTTCGGTTTTGCAAATTCAAATAAAGCTGAAGATGATCTTATTTCAATGTCAAAATATGTTACAATTTTGGCAAAATTAATGCTTTGAGCATCTAACATTATTCTTTATTTTAATCTGGTTTTATAATTTTTAAACATCCAACAAATCAGTTATCAGTCCTTTCGACATTAGTTTTATCCAATTCCACTGGTACCTCTGAAATAACTTGTTATGTGTTGATGTTGCCTCATCTTTCATGTCCATGGGATAAATTATTTACATATATTACAAAAATAGTAAAGCATTAATGTTATTTATTTATTAATAAGTGTATAAATTTTGAGTAATCATAAGTATTTCACTAATAACTAATCTTCATTAAAAAATTTAACTGATTATTTTTAATAAAATCTCTTTTTTTAATTACGTTTTTTCATATAAATAAGATTTGAATTCAAAATTTTATTTAAATATAGAAATAGTTTTAACTAGCATTTTCTCTTATACAATGCGCTAATTATATATAATTAAAATTTATAATAAATTAAGAATATATATAATATTATATTTAAATATATAAATTATATTTAAAATTAATATATAAATATTTTAAAACACATAAATTATATTTTAAACTTATGATAAATAATT